ACAGTGACCTCCCAAATTCCCCATTGGGAAGAAGCCCAAAGCCAGACCTGAGCACAATATCAATGGTCTCTGTTTGCGATTCCAGCAACTGGTGTTCAGAAGCATACCTGCAGCCGCTGGGAGAGACAATCTGGGGGTTTGGGCTGGGTGTCCATCAATATGCGGATGATACCCAGCTCTACCTCTCTTTCAAATCGGAACCAGTGAAGGCAGTGAAGGTCCTGTGTGAGTGTCTGGAGGCGGTTGGAGGATGGATGGCGGCTAACAGATTGAGGTTGAATCCTGACAAGATAGAAGTACTTTTTTGGAGGGACAGGGGGCGAGTGGGAGTGGAGGACTCCCTGGTCCTGAATGGGGTCACTGTGCCCCTGAAGAACCAGGTCCGCAGCCTGGGAGTCATTTTGGACTCACAGCTCTCCATGGAGGCGCAGGTCAACTCTGTGTCCAGGGCAGCTGTTTATCAGCTCCACCTGGTACGCAGGATGAGACCCTACCTGCCCACGGACTGTCTTGCCAGAGTGGGGCATGCTCTAGTTATCTCCCGCTTGGACTATTGCAATGCGCTCTACGTGGGGCTACCTTTGAAGGTGACACGGAAACTGCAACTAACCCAGAATGCGGCAGCTAGACTGGTGACCGGGAGCGGCCGCCGAACCACATAACACCGGTCCTGAGAGATCTGCATTGGCTCCCAGTACGTTTCCGAGCAGAATTCAAAGTGTTGGTGCTGACCTTGAAAGCCCTAAACAGCCTCGATCCAGTATACCTGAAGGAGCGTCTCCACCCCCATCGTTCTGCCCGGACGCTGAGGTCCAGCGCCGAGGGCCTTCTGGCGGTTCCCTCATTGCGAGAAGCAAAGCTACAAAGGGAACCAGGCAGAGGGCCTTCTCGGTGGTGGCGCCCGCCCTGTGGAATGCCCTCCCACCAGATGTCAAAGAGATAAACAACTACCTGACATTTAGAAGACATCTGAAGGCAAGCCTGTTTAGGGAAGTTTCTAATGTGTGACATTTTAATGGATTTTTGTTGGAAGCCGCCCAGAGTGGCTGGGGAAACCCAGCCAGATGGGCGGGGTACATATAATAAATTACTATTACTGTTACTACCTCATCCAGTGGTGAACTTGGCCGTATCCACATATAGCCCTGCCCTCTATCAATTTGTCTAATCCTCTTTCAAAGCCAAGGGCGTGCAAACGAGCCAGCGTGGCGTTCTGGTCCCAGGAGGAGAGACCGGGGTTCGAATCTCCACTCGGCTGCGAAGCTCATTGCGTGACCTTGGCACCAGTCACTGCCTCTCAGCCTCAGCTGGTTAAATGAGAAGCATGCATGCCACTTTGAGCTCCTTGGAGAAAAAAGTGGGGTATGGATGCAATAAATTAATATGAAGATTAATAAATAATAATAATAATAATAATAACACTAGGCAAATATGTGGGCCGCCTAGCTAAACCTTTCCCCATGACCCCTGGGAGAATCATAGAATTGTAAAGTAGGGTCATCTAGTCCAGGGGTCAACAAATGTTTTCAGCAGACGGCCGGTCCACTGTCCCTCAGAGCTTGTGGGGGGCCAGACTATATTTTGGGGAAAAAATATGAACGAATTCCTATGCCCCACAAATAACCCAGAGATGCATTTTAAATAAAAGGACACATTTTATTCATGTAAAAACAGGCTGATTCCTGGACCGTCTGCAGGCCGGATTGAGAAGGCGATTGGGCCGGATCTGGCCCCTGGGCCTTAGTTTGCCTACCCCTGATCTAGCCCAAGCCCGTTCAATGCAGGAATCTCAACCCACAATCCCCAATCCAATCTGAAACCATTTGTAGCTCAAGCTTTGCATGCAGAACGTCCCGGGTTTGATCTCCAGATCATAGCTGTCAACAGTCCCTTATTTGGCAGGACAGTCCCTTATCCCAGCGCCGTCTCCCGCTGCTGTCCCTTGTTGATGATGTCCCTTAAATTTCCCGGGTTTCAAAGGAAGCAGCTCCTCTCCCTCCCTCCCTGCCGGCCAGGCAGGAGGGAGGCTCCAACTGTGTTGCTCATCCAATAAGGAGTCTGAGAACGACTGGGGGGTGGAGCTTGCATGCCTTGTGCCAATCAAATTGGCCGCGTTGTCTGGGGACTCGCCTTTGCTCAGCGCTTCCCAGCGGAGAGGGGACGGTGGTTTTCCTTGCTGCGTCCCCTTTGCCGGGTTGCTGCGCTGTGGGAACCACCGCTTGAGGCTTCGTTTGGCTGCTGGCTGGGCTTTCTGCCTTTGGCTCGGAGGGGCTCAGAAGTCAAACATACCTGTGCCCCTTGGAAAATCCCTTATTTTGGCTGCTGATCCCTTATTTCCGAGGCTGCTGGTCCCTTATTTTCAAATCTGTAAGTTGACAGCTATGAACGAATGAATGATCTGACTGCATACAAGACAGCTTCCTAAGTTCCCAAAGGCCGGAGCCACACACCACAGGGTGGAGTTCTGCTCCTTTAAAGGACTGGGAAGAATAATCACCAGGAGGGTGTGGGAAACTTATCAGCTTATCAGACTGGCTTCCCCCAGCTTTGCTCAATATGTAGGCCAGAAGAGGAGGATTCAATTTCAGGGCGTGCCGGAAACCCATTCCTAGGCACCCAGCCCAGTTCTCCAGCAAACTCCCTTCACTCTTTTGAGTTATGCAACAAATCTCTGTGACATTTCCCCAGCAAAATACGTTATGACTGAGATGCACCAGGTTGCAGAACTGCTCTGCGTGGGCCAGGGATCAAGTGACACGTCGCAAATATTGGGACTTCCTGGTGGCCCAGGTGAGTTATAGCGCCGACAAGGGTGCAGAAGTTTGCTACTGAGGTGGGCGGGGCCAGAGGCAAAAGTGGGAGGGGCAGTGCATAGCTTACCTTTGTACAACCGCTAGGCAAAAGCAGAGACATCACCTTGCCACCAAAAGTCCGTATAGTTAAAGCTATGGTTTTCCCAGTAGTGATGTATGGAAGTGAGAGGTGGACCATGAAGAAGGCTGATCGCCGAAGAATGGATGCTTTTGAATTCTGGTGCTGGAGGAGACTCTGGAGAGTCCCATGGACTGCAAGAAGGTCAAACCTCTCCATTCTTAAGGAAATCAGCCCTGAGTGCTCACTGGAAGGACAGATCCTGAAGCTGAGGCTCCAAGACTTTGGCCACCTCATGAGAAGAGAAGACTCCCTGGAAAAGACCCTGATGTTGGGAAAGATGGAGGGCACAAGGAGAAGGGGACGACAGAGGACGAGATGGTGGGACAGTGTTCTTGAAGCTACCAGCATGAGTCTGACCAAACTGCGGGAGGCAGTGGAAGACGGGTGCCTGGCGTGCTCTGGTCCAGGGGGTCACGAAGAGGCGGACACGACTAAACAACAAGGCAAAAGTGAGAGGTTTTAATACGCCTATGCACCAGGGTAAGTCTGGGGGTCGATGCAAAGAACCAGAGGGCCACATAGGGAGAAATCCAGTCACTTCAGAGCTTAAGGACAGCGCCAGGCCTTGAGAACCATGTTCTTGGGGATTACTGTTGGGCACCAGTGCGGTTATTGTCATTTTAGGTGCCCAGCAATGGAGAACATTCTTCCCCTCTGGGTTTTTGGGAAGGTCGGCGGTTCAAATCCCTGCGAAGGGGTGAGCTCCCGTTGTTCGGTCCCTGCTCCTGCCAACCTACCAGTTCAAAAGCACGCCAGTGCAAGTAGATCAATAGGTACCGCTCTAGAGGGGAAGGTGAACGGCGTTTCTGTGTGCTGCTCTGGTTCGCCAGAAGCAGCTTAGTCATGCTGGCCACATGACCCGGAAGCTGTACGCCGGCGCCCTCGGCCAGTAAAGTGAGATGAGCGCCGCAACCCCAGAGTTGGTCACGACTGGACCTAATGGTCAGGGGCCTACCCTTTACCTTACCACTCAGTGTCAATGACTCCCTCCCTTCTGTTTTCAATGCTGTCGCTGAATCGAATTCAGCTCCTTGAAGGATCACAGAGTCATTGCAGAGTTGGGAGAGATGCTTATCTGTTAAAACAAGGCGTAGTTGTAACATTGGACTCCAGTTCCTATAAAGTGGTACCTCGGGTTACAGACACTTCAGGTTACAGACTCTGCTAACCCAGAAATAGTACCTCGGGTTAAGAACTTTGCTTCAGGATGAGAACAGAAATCGTGCGGCGGCAGCAGGAGGCCCCATTAGCTAAAGTGGTGCTTCAGGTTAAGAACAGTTTCAGGTTAAGAACGGACCTCCAGAACGGATTAAGTTCTTAACCCGAGGTACCACTGTAATCCCTGGGCACCATGGCCAATAGTTAGTGATGACAGCAGCTAACATCTAACCTCTGCAAGCAGCACCGCTTCTCCACTCACAACTCTGTTTTAAATCAGGGGTCAGCAACCTTTTTCAGCCGGGGGCCGGTCCACTGTCCCTCAGACCTTCTGGGGGGGCCGGACTATATTTTGGAAAAAAATAATGAGCGAATTTCTATGCCCCACAAATAACCCAGAGATACATTTTAAATAAAAGCACACATTCTACTCATGCAAAAACACGCTGATTCCCAGACTGTCCGTGAGCCGGATTGAGAAGTCGATTGGGCCGCATCCAGCCCCGGGGCCTTAGTTTGCCTACCCATGTTTTAAATGATCTTGGGACCAGTTTTACCTTGCCCCATGCATGCCCACTCAGCCTCTCTGATCTTTGGAACTCCCTACCTGTTGATGTTTAGCCTTTGCCGTATTCTTTTCAGCATGGACTGAAAGCGATTTTGGTTTAAGCAAACCTATCCAGACAAATAGATGTTGACATTTAATTTTATTTTTTAAACTTTTCTTTAAATGTTTTAATTTAAACCATTATAATCAGGCATTTTAATGATGAAAGGATAGATTCACCCAAGGCCTTTACCACATACCAATTTGGGGGGTGGGAGAGTGGGGGTGGTCAGAAAGTCCAATTCGTATAGGACTTTAGGGGGTGTTTTTTGGAAAAAAATCAATCTACGCGATTGTGGTGTGGGTTTTTTTTTTGTTCTTTATTAAAGGAAAATAAATCTGGAGGGAAATCAAAAATTACAAATAATAAAAACCAACCCAGATCGTATATTATAGCAGCCATTTAAAACTGTACAAACCCACTGTGCTGGGGACGAGGGAACCCTCGTTACGAAACAATCCTCTAAGATCAGGTTTTCCTCCCTCCCCCAAATATAGACGCTTCTAAATTATTGCATTACTGTTTAAAAAAGAACGAGAGAGAGAGAGAGACAGAGAGAGAATCACAGCTCCAAAGACCTAGGTATAAAAACCTCACTCTCAGGTTTTGCCCCCCAGGGAAACGGAACGGGGCAGGCTGGGTGGGGGGCACACAAAACAAGGTCGCGTTTTCAAGACATCCAGTTTTGAGAACCAGGTTCCAACAAAATGCCGTCCGTCTTGCCCTGACGGACACAGCGGCGCCTGCTACCAAACGCTTGAATCCGGATTGGGTTTTCATGTACCCAGAAGGTAGAACCGGGCGGTTTATTTTGTTATTGCGGCTTGAGACCAGAAGATGCAACGGCCTCAGAAACCCCTGCTCCTTTTTTGCTCTCCGTAAATCTGAGCGGGGTGGTCAGCGGCCTGCGGACCCCTTCACAAGACGATTACCGGTCTGAATCACTTCATGCAACCTTCAAGAGAGGGAGAGGCAAAGCGGGAAACTCATCTGAGCCCAGAAGTTGGATAAAAGGGATGAAAACAAGGCAGGAGTTTTTTCCCCATCTCGGCCAAATGGCATTTCAAAGATCTGCCACAACTTTGGCCCGCCAGATGTTCCCGAACTCCCGTTAGTCTTAGTGAGGATGGCCTGGGATGATGTGAATTGTACTCCAGCAACTTTTGGATGGTCAAACTGTCTCCACACCTGATCTGCAATGTAATGGCTAAATTTGACAACACAGGAGGTTGATTTCAAGGCTGTGGATTGATCCAGCTGCCGGTGGACACTGCAGATCAACTCATTCCACCAAATTCCTGACGCCCAGCGACTTCCGCAGTCCGAAGCCATGTTGAGGGTTGTGGAGAACAAACAAGACGTTATCCCCACCCCCATTTGCCATGACTATAGCTCAAAGACATGGACGGTGTCGACGAAATATAAACACAAGCTCTTCCGAGAGAAAGATTTGCAGAAATAATTGGTTCAAAGACATTTGCATGAGAAAACTTCCAAAACAAAAGACCCACCAACTGGGAGTGGAATCTGCGGCTTGAAAACGTGTCATAAGTCAAACACGAAGTGGAAAACATGGGCACAACCGACTCAGCGGCCTCTGTCTCCGAGCTTGTGCAACCTGTCAATGTTCTGGCAAAGCTGATGTCTTGCTGCATTTGGGGGCAGGTGGAGGGAGGAATGAGCAGGAAAAAATACAGGGAAGCCAGCAGCCGAGATATTGGTCGAGCAGTAGAGGGGGAAAGGGGAGCGATCTTCCACAAATAAGATGGTCGCTCTGCTTTTGATGCTGGCTGCAATGCAGACGAGTTTCTTGAGGACTAGATGCCTTGTGTGTTTTCGGCAACACACCCAGTAAAACCTCTTGGACGTTTCTGCAACCACTGAAGCAAAGAAGCTAAGATCTCTCCTCTGACCCACGGTGTATTTGGAAGACTTGTGCTGGCAGAAGGGATGAGCCTCCAGAGACTGCCAAAATAGTTGTGGACAAGGTGGTGCCAGCCAGGGGTGGTGGAAACCATCTTGCCTCACTTTTTTTTTCCCTGCTGAAGGTGTAATTTCCCCTCCCTGCAAAATGCACAGCCCTTTAAGCAGGGCTCGTTTCAGTGCAAAACAGAGTAGCCAGCCAGGAACCAGCACTTTAAAGTCGTGCTGAAATCCCTGTTTTTTAGCGCCATTGTGACGATGACGGCACAGCGCCCGCTTTTGAGAGGGGGAGCCACAAGGCAAGCAAAGATGGGACCTAGCAAGACCTCGATGCCGGCACATGTGTATGCAGAAGTATAAAAGGCAGAGGTGCACATCATGCCTTTGATGGTGCCATTCCAAGCATGGCACACCCAAGTCGGTTCCCGCGTGAAACAAGTACATTAAGAGTGAGCCCTTCTCCTGGGACACATCCATGATAAGGCACTTGGTGCAAGGCTGGAGAGGTTAAATTGGGGCACCTGGGTACTGTTAAAGAGGGCGTAGGGAATCCTTTTGGCCCAGCAGACCAGCTCTGACATATGGGTGGGGCAATGCTCCTGTCAATTCCCCTGATGTCGGGCTTTGACAGGTGAGCAGTCACACCCGACCCATCAGAGCTCCTTGTGCAGTGCTTGCCAGGCGCCTGGCTGAGTTTGGGGAGCGCAAAGCCCTTTGTGATATCTGAACTTGGCCTTTCTCGAGGTCTGGCAAAAGCGCTTTCTGCAGGAAGCGGCTGCGCAGTCCCGTTTGCCTCACGGGGAACGCAGCTGTGAAGTGTGGCGATTCAGCCTCCCCACCCCATAGATTGGCTGTGCAATCAAGTTCCCCCTACAAG